GGGGGGGGGGGGGGGGGTGTGTGTGTGTGTGTCGAAAAATGCGAAAAATTCTGAATTTTTGGCTAACCATTTAAATGCATTGTGAGGCGTTTCCATTTGTCCCACACATCAAAAGGATACGGTCCAAGAAACTGGTCAAGGTACATTAGATTGTCCCTGAATCGTTGCATTTCTTCTGAACTGAGATTGTCATAACTGATATCTTCAAGGGACGAATCCCACTTTATCCCCAAGATTTCTGATTTTTTAAAATGGTGGATGAATCCTCTTCTGGGTGCTACATCTCCATGAGAATTTCTTGCACTGGAAAAAACCAAAACATAAGTAAATGCAAAGAGGACAATTGCAAGTATAAACTTTGATTGTCAAAAATTAAATTGCTCAGCCACAAGAGTTAAAAAATCCTTTCTTGCCTCCTGCCTTTACAGTTAAAATAGAATGAACATAAGTTTCTCCGGTGATTAGGCTTGGTTATTCTTGGTTCTTACATTAGAACGAGAATCTGTAATAAAGTGGATTAACTTAGTTTCCCATTCATACCAACAATTTGATTAACAGATGAAAAGAGCTCTGCCACAAAAATTCATTCTATTTGAGATGGTCAATATATTATTAGTAACACTCACGAAAAGTTTCTTACAACCTATTCTTGTGAGACCTTGTAAACTTTCACCACAAATTATGCACAATTTTATGTATTTTTTGGCAAGCAAAGATGTTGATAATTTTCATAGGAAGTCATCCAAAACTTTAGATTAATAAAACCTAAAAACTTGGGTAGCATCGGTCTCCATGAAATTTTTTTAAGTCCTTGCTTTGAAGAAAGTAATCGTGTGTAGAAACACTTTTAATAGGTGGAAGGGGAAAGTCTCCCAAATAGAATGTTTAAGTATACCTTTTTTTGGCATTAAAGAATAATAGGGCGGCTACTTCTATGAGGATATGACAAGCTTGCATCTATTAGCAGTGCTTCAAGTGAAAGAACATAGGAACAAAACGAACCTGTAAAAAATAAAATGAATGCCTGGAGGAATCATTTTGACACCTTTGAATTTTTCTCCTGTTTCCCAAGACTTGAGATCGATGCCAAACTCTGTTTCAACCGGTACATCCAAGAATATTAAGGTGGCCCCCTCAACAAAAAGCTGCTTAGCCAATTCAGGGTCCATCTCCACACTTTCCTCGGCAAATGACACTTTTTTTGATGAACAAGACATTTTGAAAGGTATTATTCGGAAAATTAAAAAAAACCGATGATCAAAAACGCATTACTTAGCACTTGATGAGCTGTTACAGGGAACTACAACATCAATCTAACAAGCTATCTATAAAAAGAGATTATTAAGGGTTGGAGGATCACGCTATGAAGAATCATCACAGTTTATAACTTTTAATTGTAGAAAAGTAAGAAAACTGTTCTCAATCAGCTCATGAAGTCTCTCTTTCATTCATTGGGAGACATCTAAACCAGATCTAAACAACAACATAACCTCAATCGCACTCGCTTTTTGCGCATTGCGCATGCGCCGTACTTGTAAATAAATAACATTACCACTACTCTGACAAGAGACAAGTGACAATGAGTGGAAAAAGTGGATCGGAATTTTTAGAATGTCGTTTGGAGTGCTTTTTTGCATCATAATTTAAAATTTTAGGGCTTATCAAGTGAAGATAATCATTGCAAGCTACTACTTTTCCCGTTTTTTACCTTGTCAATGCATGTAATTGGAGAGGTATGTTCTTTTTCACTTTGTTTCGGTGATACCCCAAGATCTTCAAGAACGGTTTGCTACTTAGTGTTTTCTCTTCGAGTCATGATGAAAAGAAATGTGTGCTGGACTTACAATCTGGTTCTTTTGAACTGACATTTGTCTCTTTTCTATGAAGTTTCTTCACCATCCTACCATGGTATCATCAAATTTGTTTTGACTTGATCTTTTACTTGCCAGCTCAACATGCTATCTGCGAACAACAATCGTCAGTCAAAGTTTCTGGAGATTTCGCCTGTTAAACCAGTTTGGAAACCTGATCGTAAGTATTGCAATTGCTCTGTATTGAAATACATCTTCATTAATTCCTTACATAGTAACACGATTATTATCCGGTTGATTATTGACCCCAATAGAGATCTTATGTTTTGTCTGCGACCTTTTTGTTAAGATGTCAGGTTTTATCTTCGTGAAGTTTCATGACCTCACTCAAACATATAGATCTCTTGGATGGATATGAAAATTGTAATCTGGTGCGGTCATGAAATTGTGTGTCACACGGTCACAGAATGGACGTAGATTGACAGATACATTTAAAACTTCACAAATTTAACATTGTACCAAGAACCTCTAACAACACCGCCAAAAGCGACTGCTTGTGTAAACATGTTGCTTCGACTTGTTTATTGTGAATTATATCTGGCAACTTCTCTGTTTTTGAGTATATAACAGCACTGCCTACCGATACCTGGTCATTACTTTAATGTTACCTGGTTGTAGCTGTGGAGAACACACGGGATCGTACTTAATGGAAGGATTTGAAATAATTGATTTTTTAACATGAGAAAGCGAATTTGTTCCACGCATGGAAATTTTTAGTTGAAACTCTGAGGAAGTTTGAGGTAGCTCAAGTATTACTTTCTTTCGGAATTTTTTCCAACTTTTTGACCCCCCTCCCGCCTGTAAGGCATCCATGAAAAATCTCCCACCCCCCTTATAAAATATGTAAGATTGGCCGGGACTCCCTTGCCCTCCATTTTTCAGAAAGTAACGGAGAAAGCTCAGTCAAAAAGCTGGAATTTTAAGGCTTTTGTAAAGGTATTTTGATGAAAATCGACCAAAAAAGGAGCAAATAATTGAAGTTTAAATGTCAGAGTGTCTACCAGTTATAAAAACCAAACTTGGGGACTTTCAGGGGTGTTTTTCCAAGAAAATTGGGGACTTTTTTCCTGGAACAGAAAGATAAAAGCCTTTTTTTTGACAGCGGAAAGTTTATGTAAGACTCGGCTTGACCCTCCCTCCCCCTTGGTAAGGCTCTGTACCTAAGATAAGCTTAGACCCCCTCTCCCCGTAAGTGCCTTACAAAATACTTAAACGGCCCCTTTGATAGAATTAAGCAAATTTGTTCGACAGAATCACATTTGAAAAGGGTGAAAATTATTTAGTGCTTGCCAATGTAGGTAGGGAATGTTTCCTTCCGCAGTCTTTATTGTTGACAGATAGTGCTGAAACTCAGCACATCACCCCTATTTAAACCCATGTAAAATATCTACATTTTATTGTGCAATCTGGCAACATTGCCGAAGATAACACCAACAAAATCGCACACGATTTCTCGAATGGCCAGGAATGCTAAGTAGGAATCGGTATATAATTGCTGTCAACTGATAGCTTGTCTTTTTCTTTCATGTCCCTTTCCCTTCAAGTGGAAAATCAGCTTTATATGTAGCAACCCTTAATCCTTCAGATGAAACATTTCATGCATTTCTAAGCGCAGTACTCTTATATTGTTTTTTCTCTCTCATTTTTTTCAGTTTATAAACTTCAGCGAGAGGCACCTGCTCCGAATGCTATCTGCTTGGAAACTATGCACCCCAACTGTCCACTTCAGTATGGCTTGGAGTATCATGGTGTGTTATCCAGCTCACAATGTGAAAAATTGCTGAAGAAAGACGGAGACTATCTGATTAGATCCAGTCCGAACTGCTCTAACACAACTTACGTACTATCCATGATGTAAGTATTTTTCTCTGGACACATTCAGTGTGGGGACAACCAGCATCGATGATATTCAAGTATGGCCATGTTTCATTGTTCTAGCTCTCAGGCTGGCTTTTTTCTCAGTAGAATTCCTCCAACAACCAGAGAGTTTCAGGACTGTATCTTGCAAAATGAAAACCAGCATTTTGACATGGTAACTGCAAAAATGCATATTTTGGTTGTGGTTTTTCAAAATCTCTGCTCTTATTTTTTGTTTTTTTCTGAGAAGAGATCAACAATAATTATTCAATTTATTAATTCTCTTCAGTTTAAAATGTACAAAAATAGTAACCAACAACTTAATAACTCGTGCGGATGAGTCAGTTTAACATATTTAATTTAAATTTAAATTTTAATTTTCAAAACAAATGCAATGTTAAATATGTAGAATAAACAAATTCGTATCAAAATATGTAGGTTACATTTGTTTTGTTCTTTTTAATTTATCTAGGTTGAATTTAAAGGTTGGCTAGGCCCTCGTTCTGATTTCATTAACTTGGAATTTTCACCAGGTATTTCTCCTACAGGGGCAAAAAATCAGATAAGTGTTCAAGAAATGATGTCAAGTAGTTTTTCATGTAGAAAATAATGTATGACAGGAAGTCCTTTTAAACTGCCTTTTAAGTGTGGCAACTTAAGTTACCTAATGTTGCTATCGTATTTCCTGTTTTTAAAATTCATTTTCTTGATTTTATTTGGCATTTTATTTTTCAGGTTTGATGGTCGTATCGTTCACTACAAATTGTATTACGATGAAGAGCATTACGTGAACGTGAATGGCAAACGGTTCAGCACGACAGGAGAACTAGTTTTGGATGGTTTAGTCACAAACTATGTGGAGCTGCATGCTGGGCCGTACATCCAGCTGATGCACAATTTAAATTGTTACGAAAATTCTCCCTACATGACTTTAAACCGTCTCAAAAGGAAGGCTCTTCAAAAGCAAATGAACAATGTCACAACCAATAACAATATCAACAATCATAATATCAATAACAACAATCCCAGACGGATAAGTAATTCAAACAACTTGGTAATAATTCACAACAACATTGATTATGACAAGCCTCATTCCTTCAAAACACAGACTTTCAACGGACTGAATTGGTGCGAATTTTGTGGCAATTTTTTGTGGGGCATCATCGCGCAGGGTGTCAAATGTGAAGGTTAGTTTTCAAACTTCTGAGTAATATTATAAAATTCATTCTTCTGCCTAATATCTCTAGTTGCATGGTAACTTAGACTCTTTTTGGCTTTAGATTGTGTCATATTAATGAGATAGATGACAGGGGTTTCGAATACCATGTCGCATCACGTTCACAGCTCATATCGCAGGGCACGTAGGGCCAAAAAAACAACTTTTTGGCTGCATTGCATCAGCCATGTTCAGATATAAAAGATATTAAAGATATGAGATGGTGCGTCTGATTGTATGCAAGCATCGGCTTAAGGCCTTAAAATGTTTGTCATGAGATACAGAAAAAGAGACAGAAGAAATGAGGGAGAAAAGGATGGACAAAAAATGTGTCTCGGGGCAAATTTAGAAAAAAGCGTTGCGTAACATGGGGCAGACTGAAAATATATTCAAGAACGTCTCATCAGCCTCATGACTTTTAAAAAATGACCATATGTGGTGCGGATGCTGTTAAAAGTACCAAAAAAATAAAAATTTACATGGTGAAGAGTCATTCTGTTTCTATATTTAGTTTTATTATAAAATTGTTGGTCATGCAAGCCGTATTAATTTTATCATTCTAGATTGTGGTCTCATGGCGCATAGTAAATGTTCAGAGCGACTCCCTGCTGATTGTTGTCCTGATCTGAAGCGAGTGAGAGGAGTTTTCGGAGTAGATTTGACAACCCTGGTCAAAGCTCATGGCACAAGTATACCTTTTTTAGTGGAAAAATGTATCACGGAAATTGAAAAAAGTGGCTTAGATATAGAGGGACTCTACAGAATCTCCGGTTTTCAGGAAGAAATTGAACAACTAAAAATTTGTCTGGACAAAGGTCAGTATTAATTGAGTTGAGCTAATGTGGTATGTTATTGTTTGTTTCTTCAATAGAGAACTGTAGTCGTTTTTCAGTGCTTTTCCCATCTAAGTTATAAAAAACCTTCTTTGGATAAGACTGACGGTGCATGAATGAGCCCTTTAATAACTGCTAATTAAGTGTTGGTAAGTATTATTTTATTGTATAACAAAAGCCTTGTGTTGAAATTCTCTGTTTTTATACCCAGAATCCCATTATTCTGTTAACTAATTTTCTGTCTGTAAAACAGCTAAAAATCTAATTTTTTTAACAGTTTCAAATCCGCCTGGCTCTTGAAAATTATATATTCACAAGTGAGATTTTTCCATTGGTTTTTAATAAATTTCACTCTTCTCTTAAGTAAATTGTAGTAATTGATTTAAAAAAATAGTTTTCGAGTAATTAATAATTCTTTTATCTTTTAGGTGGAGAAAATACTGTTTTGAGCTGTCGAAACCAAGATGATGTGAATGTTGTAGCTGGTGTATTGAAACTGTATCTGCGGCTCCTACCTCTACCGCTCATAACATACGAGTGTCATCCGGCTCTCATCAAAGCAATTTGTAAGACATCTCCAAGATTTTTGTGAAATTTAGATCTCATGCAGTATTTTTCAGTTTAAGATGATCTCCTCCCCCCTCCCCCCCCCATCATTGGAAGGTCTTCACTTGAATAATCAGTCATTTTAAAATTTCTGTAACTATTGCAGAACGTTTTGGTAACGCTTCATTCTGTCCGGACACCACGAACAAAAATTTTAAATTGGTGTGTTCAAACTATCCACGTTCGTGGACTCCACGAACACACATTTAATTTTTAAATAACTGAATAAATTCGGCACCGTTCATATGTCTGTAAAAGTTCCAAGTTTTTAAAAGTTCAAGTTTGAAAGTCTAAAGTCTTCTTCAAAAGTTACAAGTTCTTATCAAAAGTCATGCATAAGCACAGGTTTGAGTAATTTGTGAAAACTTGGTTCGTGGACTCAACGAACACCCAGGAGTGCTCAGGGACTCCACGGACTCCTTAAACCAATATTAGGTGTTTGTGGAGTCCACGAACCAAATTTTCCAGAAACAATTCAAAGCTGTGCTTACGTATGACTTTTGATAAGGACTTGCAACTTTTGAGGATGACTTTAAACTTTCAAACTTGAACTTTTAAAAACTTGGAACTTGTACAGACATAGGAATGGTGCCGAATTTATTCAGTTATTTAAAAATTAAATGTGTGTTCATAGAGTCCACGAACGTGGATAGTTTGAACATACCAATTTAAAATTTTTGTTCGTGGTGTCCATGAACTGCGGACAATGGTTTCTTCCATTGTGACTCCCTCAGTAACGCACACAGTGGTGCGATTTGCTTTTTGCATCACCCATAGAACCAATTTGAAAGAGATCACAGCTGAAGCAGGTGGCATCTGTTATCGTGATTTCCAGAAGGCAATTTTTCTATCAATATTGAGTGTCAAAAATTATCCTTTGGACTACTCTTTTCGTTTTTTACAGGTGTATAAACTCCCATCATCAAAATTTGATTCTATAACCAATGCAACTAATCTATTTTCTAGTAGAAGAATGGATGACTAATACCTAAGCAAGGGTAGGAGAATAGGTGGATTCAACTAGACCTTGTCCAGAATTTTTCTTAATTTTTCCTTATTACCCTTAAAAAAACTTCATAGAAGAAGAATTTGTTATCTCTGAAGGCTTTTTGTTTATTTACATATAGTTTGTATCAATTTTGCCAACCACAATAAAAAAATGCGTAGCTCTGATTGTAATTTGCAAGCTCCACTCATGTTTCATTTTTTTACAATTATTCTTGAAATTCTCCGTGAACTTTTTTTCTTCACTTACCAAAACTTTCAGATTAAGATAACTAAGGCAAGTAGTTGCTGTTTCGACAAGAAAACATAAAATGAGAAACATCCCAATACGTATTTTTCAACTTTAGTCATTGATTTCCTTTAAATTCGAGCGCAAGGTTTGATTTTTGTGACAAATTAAAAGCTATCTCTTGTTTGGGTTCATTTCTTAAGGATTTTATTAATATCTGTTGTTTTGAAGAAGCTAAACACGGTTCATGCTGGCCCAAGTACTGTAATTTTTTACCAATGATGAATTTTATTAATTTTTCAGTGAAACAAACGCTTTGGGAACAAATAGCACGGATCAAGGATGCACTCTCTGTCTTGCCTTTAGCACACTACAATACATTGAGATATTTAATTCGGCATTTACACAGGTATTTTTTTTTCTATTTTTACTTATTTATTTTATTATTGATGCTCCAATATATTTGTGGTATTGTCTACTCTTCTACAAGTTAACACAGCCATGTCATGGTAATTCCTATCATCAATATTGAAATAATTAATGAAACAAAACACAAGAAAACTAATAATACAAAGAAATAGAATGCCTGGCTCGTTTCAGGTCGATTTCAACCCCCTCCTCAACCAGGAATCAAAAATTAAAAAATCCTCAGACCCCCATTTTTGATATTAAGAAAGAGAGGCATAACAAGATAAGTGCTCTCTCTTTCGTCATCACAAATGGGGGGAGGGTTTTTTTTATTTTTATATTTTTGTTTCCTGGTCGAGTGAGGGTGGAGGGGGATGGGATTAAAAAGTACCCCACTTCGTTCCAGGCATTCTGTTTGTCTTTAGCCTTGGTTTTCCGTTTTTGTGTGTTTTGTTTCATTCATATTGACTCATGACATATTGACTTCATTATGAAAATGTCATCTTTTTATTTCATTTTATCGTCTCGAACATACTTTGAAATCCTCAAAAATGCATAGCCAATGACTTTTATCAGCACAGAAATCAAAACGGTTCATGTCATATATCCTTAAGAGTAGTCTAACCCATGAATTTTAAAATTGAAAGCAGTTATTTCCCCGCAACCAATTCCAACAATTGGCATTTTCATGAGGTATTAACTATTTTTCACAGCAAAATTATTTTTTTCTCACTAGACCATTCTTCTGTTTCAGAGTCAGCGAACATAGTGAAACTAACAAGATGACGATTCAAAATTTGAGCACCGTTTTTGCGCCAACATTAATGCCAGCCCCTGATCTTTCGAAATGCAGTGAAGGATCCTTGCCAGATATCAACAATGATATTGTTGCCCTACAGAATTTGATAACGCACCAGGAATACATCTTTGATTAATTACGTACATTTGTCTACCTGTGCTGCAGGTAACTGCCATTTGAAGAAGCCACCAAACTCTGGTGGAGACATCTTTCAATTTTTATATTTTTTCCTAGAATTCATACCTTCTTATTTATTTCACTATTAGTCATGCACTACAACATTCCATATTATTCAATAGGCCAAAATCGTCCACAAACATTCAGTGAATTGAATGCGGTGCAAATTTTTATTTTCTTTCATTCCCTTACTGGCTTAAGTAGCTTCTCATTTTATTCTTGAAAAGATGCCGCCTTTGTATGTAAACTTTCAATGGCATTGTCCAGATGTATAATAGGAAAAACTGCAATGATGACGAAAATGAGTGACATTATATGTATGAGATTAATGTAGCTCAGCTTGTAAGTTGTCAATCTCTTGTGATAGGTTTATGAGGAAGAAAATGATTTGATGAATTCAAGGCATTTTCTTGTAAATTTGAGTTTACACTTTGTAAGGTTTAAGAGGCTGTGAGCATTTACTTGAATCCTGTAGTCGCATGAATGTAGCCAACAAACTTTTCCAGTATCATGCAATAGAATTTTACCATCAGCACCCTAAAAGTTGCCAAAATGTATTAGCAAAGTATTAGTATTTATTTATTTGTTTTCTTGCTGGCAGAGTTAAGTTATTCTGTCTGTACTCTTAAATGTAAAGTCAAAATTAGATTAGAGGACACTTCACCCTAATTCATGTGTGCACTGGAAACCGGAAAAAATGGATAATGAATTTTGATTGATGATTGTGACGTAATTTGTCATGCACCATTTTGTTTTCTGTGAAATTCAATGATGTCCCTAAACATAATAAACATTCCCAATGTTTGCTAAGGTTATAAATGTTAGTAGGCAGAGTTTGTTTCTCTGCAAAAATTTTACGAACAATCCAACACTTTAATGTATGTAACAAGTGAAGCAAGGTCGAAAGGTGTTTCTAAATTGTCACAGGATTTCTAACGTTCCTTTTCTCCTAGCTTCTCTTTTTGTAAAAAAGTAACATGCGAGTTATTTTTTGTAACCTGTAACAAATTTTGCAGCAAACAAAGCACATCATTCCACAACTTTTGTCATACAAAGTGTAGCTGGAGGAGGAATTAAGAAGGGTCTTTGTCATCTGTTCAAAATTTCAATGTTGAAAACATCCAGATTTCAGTGCTCCATCGAAAAAGGTTATGGAAAGGTCAAGACGTACACTGTGATCATAGAAGCTTATACCAAAGTATATTCGTTAGTTTTAGAATTTTTTGTATGTAGTATATCGTGTGGTAAAGGAGAACGCTGCATGAGCCTTCGGATGCAGCCAAATTTCCTTAAGTATTTATGGATTTTCAAGGAAATCTGTGAATATTTCTCCTCCAATTTTCCAAGAATTTCATTCGCAATCAGATCTAAGTTATCTGAAAATCTCAAGAAAAAATATTCATAACTCTCTTTAAAAATAATTATTTTGTTGGAGGAAGTTTCGCAAGTCCGAGATGTTCATACGGCATTTTTCCTTAGCACGGTATTATAGTTCACACAAAATAAGTTCGTGGACTTTTACAGTGAGACAAAAGATTAAATATCCCGAGTTTAAAAAAAATTATCAATTACATATCATTTCAGTCAGCTTAATTCTCATGCTTACTTAATTCTTATGTGTAAATGAAAACAGCAAATCTTGTATGGCACTGTAAAAGTTAGCTTACTAATTTGGTGTGAACTATTAGTATTTACTCATGAAGCGATTAGCTTTTTGTTGGCCTATGTATAGACAATATATAAAGATTAGATAGATTGTTGATGGTATCGCTAACATGTGTTCAAATTTAGTCTAAAACTCATCATAGAGAGTTAAAGTTTTCCAAGCACTTTTCTCTTGAGAGAGTTATGCTGTTTCAAGCAACATTAGTTATTACTGCTCTCTTGAGAAAAATTTGTACTTAGATGAGCTTTTTCTCTTCACAATGAAGCATCAGTTTCAGACTGAATTTAAAAACAGGTTGGCGAAAATAACAACCCCCTGTCCAAACAACTCATGCCTTGAACCGCAATATATTTGTAAGAATATAAAAAGATTATTGTATATTTGGAATAAGAAAGGAAAAAGGGGTGGATTTCATTACAAAGAACAAACCATGGTTGGTCACTTTTTCAGTGGATATCAGAAGACTGGTCAATGTCACTGCCATGGAGGAGTTTCCCTCCGAAATGATGTTGCTCAAAATCTGCGCAGAAAAGAACCGGGAACTGGTGTGATTTATTTACTAAACTAAATCTAAAAATAATTCCGATTAATTTTATGCTCTTTCTGTAACGTATGATGAGAAATATTTGTTGTAACAGACTTTTGCCGTCCATGGTCATGATCTACCACTTTAATGTTTTCTCTTCATTATTTCTTCCATCTTTTGTAAAATTTGTATTGCATTTCTATTAAATCAGATATTCTCTTTTGTGCTAAGCATGTTGATTGCTTTATCAATTACTTAAGTGTCTTAAAAGATTACTTTACATAAATACTGCAAAATTTGAATCATACGATGATGCAGAGCCTTGTGCAAATGTGCATTGTTCTATGTTGCTCTGATTGTTTCCTTTTTTTACGTTTTAATTATCAGAATACTAAAGTCTTTCAAACTAGGAATGATTACACATGTAAATACATATTTCTTAAGTTCAGTAATACCCTGATTATCCGACAATCTGGGGCAAGGGCCATGTCGGATATGGAAAAAGTCCAATAATCAAAACTACCAAAAGAGACTGAAAAAATGCCATTCCAGGCTCTATTTGTAAATTTAAAGCACAAACTTGGTCAATTTTCCATCACATCTCTAGAACACTTTTTTTATGAGATAAGACACGAAAAACCACATTTATATTAAATTTTTGTCTAAAAACCAGGTTTTGTTGTGTTGATTGACTTGTTTTTACCAAAAACTCAATTTTTTCCACGTTGGAAAACCGAAGCTTCTGATAGTCGGTGTTCGGATAATCAGGATATTACTGCAGATTAATTATCATGTTTATGTAAATGTATACATATCTACCTTGGAACATCATTCAGTCAGTACCGAGGTTCTTTTTCCAACTATTTGTGAGATGATTTTTCCTGTGGTTAAGTCTTGATTGAAAAAGATACTTGATTGTTAAAAGCTAGTTGAAAGCCGTATTTGATTCCTAGAATAAATTAGTTCAAAAATCAGGATTAACATCGTGTTTAAGTTTCTTGCTACTTAAAAGAAGCCATATTGACCGTGGAACTGCATAAAAAAGTATTTCCTCTGTTTGCAGCGCTGCAGACTTCCCATCATAATTTATTTTCTAAAAGAAAAAATTCTCAACATCATTTCGTCAAAACTTTGCGGATTTTTCTGATCTGTGCAAAGAATGTTCTGTGAAGTTTTCAAGCAACAGTGTTAGTTTGTTCTCTTTTGAATAAATAAAATGGGAGCAAATATTTTGAAACACCGCAAACAAAATATGCATTTTTGCAGTTTCCGCGTTAATGTATTAGAACTAAAAATTAATTGCTCTTTTCTTTTCCTTGTGATTATGTAAAATCTTGCTTGATGAATGTGATATTTCAAACTTAACATATCCACTTATTAATTCAACCACAACTGGACCATAGAAATAGTACCTTGAACATAGAGGGAAAGCTGGAAATCAATAATGCTATTAACAGTTGCACACTCCTAAGCCCAAATTCTCTACTTACTTTGTGGTCTTAGAGCTTTGACGGCACAAGGTTATAGGCGACTGCTACCGCGCCAAGGAAAAATGTGGTAAGAACCCCCGAGACATTGCCAAATTTCCTATCATAAAACATGAAATTCCTGGTAAACTTATGAATATTTTTCCTTCAATTTTTCAGACAATTTTGTTCACAATTTCATTGAAGCTCTTGAAAATTTCAAGGAAATATGTTCACACCTTTCCTCAAAAATAATAATTTTATTGGAGGAATGTTGGCAACTCCTGAATTTCCTTCGCTTAGCCGAATGTGTAACCTCTTTGCCTAGAGCTTATTATTTTTACAGGGTTTCAGAGCTTTTACTGTAGATGATTCTCATTTTAGAGACTATTCACTATTTCTTGATGTGCTTTATGGAGTGCAATATTTTTTTGAAATCAAATGTGTCATTACACAATTTTTAATTGAGACTTGCCAATTCCCAACATTGCAATTATTGGTGACATGTATCAAATCATATCGACTGCTTAAGTGTTTTTTTTTTGAAGGACTTGTTTAAAATATTCTTTTTTATGCTTGTGATATAGTTTCTTTGTAGAATTATCTTGCCTTTTTTAAAAATCTGTAAATTCCTCTATCCACGTAGTCAATGTACACGGTGAAACCCAAAAGTTGCAGTTTCTTCAATTCTCAATTTATTTGAAGGATACTTCAAGCTTGTTAATCAACTCTGCCAAGTTTTTTTTTTAATTTTTTTTTGGCTCAACAAACTTTTTTGATTTTAAGTTAAGTCTCTCTGAGGGAAATTGTCTCTATTAGAGATTCCTTGCCTCAATTTTGTGAAACATTTTCATTTTTTCAACCAGTACGTATTTTTTGAAAGAAATTAATTTAGTTCATGTACTGATTGCTGTCTTTTTTTTTCACTGCTCATCTGTCAAAGTGGTTTTTTCTTCTTTATAAAAACTTTTTAAAACTTGTTTCATCTAAAGTGGCCTTCAATTTTTGATGTTGCAAAATATATCTTTGAATCATATCCAAAAATTTGTTTATTTTGTCCATCATGCTACCTATGTCAACTCCCATTTTGGAATAGTGGAGAGTAGGTCCAATCACCTCGTGAATAATCTGCAGTTAATTTAAGTAGGTGTAGGTTTAAGCATTTAGTTAGATTATTCAGATTTGAATTGTTTTCCTCATGGAGAGACAAAGTTCTCAATGTTTCTACCGTTACAATGATTCATTACTTACTTGTCCACTTTCAAGGATCATTTACCAGAGCATTTTGTCCAAGAAAATGAAAGAAGGGAAATCAGTTTATGGGTTTTAGAGTCAGATAAATATCTTCTTGTGTGCTAACATTTTTAACGATCAAATCAGTTTGATTTAAGGGTCTCAAAAGTTTGTGGGGCATTGGTCATAGTCGCCAAGGCACCGCTTTATTAAAATAAACGTATATTACTACTACTGCCACCAATTTTTTTTCTTTCTTTGCTACATGGAGGAAGTTTAAGACCACATTATTGAATTGCAAAGTTGTAGATTTCTTGATGCACGTAGATCATATTCCACAGGAAAATTAATAAGCAATTTATCCAAAATTTTTATCTTTACATTCTCTATGCTTTGCTGCAGAAGGAATAAATCATAAAAATTTCAAACAGTAGGTAACATTGATTGCTTTCTTTGAGAAATCAATGTAGAAGTGCAAATTTTGAAATAGCTGATTCAGGGGAGAGAAAACAAAAACGAAGATTTTAAATGAAAGCTGCAAGTTGGAAACTCGATCCTGTTGCATTAGAATTTATATGAAAGGTAATGAAGTGGACACGGGCGTAGCTAGGTGTTCAGATTGAGGGGGCTCAATAGTCCTCCCCTGACAAATTCTTGAAAAATATCCCTCTTTTTGCTTTCCAGAGGACTTGAGTCCTTCAAGCCCCCCTCCCCCTCCCCGGGGGCTATGCGATGGAAATATGCATAGATATGTATGGAATTATGGATCTGTATTCCAACCCATTTACAGGTATTTTATTTGGAAAGCGGAGGTATTCTTTAAGTGCAGTTCTTATGGATCGCTTAATCAATTTTTTAACAAGGTCACAAAGAAATATATAGATCACGAGGAAAATACCGAATTTCTTTCTTGTATAAATTGTGTTACAAGTCTTTCGCGGGTATAAATTAGAAATACGGGGAATTTTTGGTCTGAAGTTCTTGATAGCATGCTTTTGAAAATAAAGGAGTTTTACAGTCTCTTGGCAACATCGCACAACACTAACACAGTAAAAATTTTAACCTCAATTGATAACTTGTCACGAGGAATCGGAGGATGTAGCAATACCAGAAATGAAGTAAATTTTCGAAGTTAACTACTAACTTTCATTTGTTTAAATTATTACCCCTAACATTTTAGTTCTTATCTATTTGAAGTTTCTGGTAATTTCTTGGTCCAAATGTTCCGCAAGTTATGTTTTGTTCATGCGTAGGACATCCAATTTTTATCAGCACTTTTACCTGAAGGTAATTTTCTAGGTAAGTCTTTAATGCTATCCAATGGTTTCTGCTCACTAGATTATTGGTAATTTTGGTCCTCTCTAAGGTTTGTCAACTACGGTGTTCGTGAAATATGCTTCACCTGTTTCTAATGTTGTGGAAGATCACCTTCAAGGCGGGACTGATAGGTCCGCAAACCTTGTGATAGATTGTGCCAGCACAGGTGCTGTAAACTTTTTGCAATAATGTATTCTTGCACAAGCTTTGAACAAAATTCATTTACGGTTCACTATGCCTCCCTGTGTGTCAATAATATCGCTACCCCCAATAATAAACAGGTACACTTTAGTGACCTCTAGCGGAGCGCCTCACCGATCGTCTAATGATTATTTTGAAGTTTCATTTGTGCGAACACAAATATGAGCATGGTGGTGCTTGTCAGTGGTTAGGGTATTATCATGCTCTTATGCATGTGTGAAGGCCCAAATTATGTATCCCGGGCGTTGCGTTGTAACGGAGTTAGCCAACTGACAGTTCGATTGTTTACTCCTAACTACTCAAAGCAATGCTAAAGGTACAAGTTTGCTGTTACTGAACCAACATATTGCAATCGCCACTGAAAGTTATATCATGAACCCTCTACAAAGCTCTGGACCCTGTTTGTAATATGTTCTGATTGTTAGAGATTGGTAAGGAATTAAATGATATGACAGCATAGCAACGTTGTACCCAACAAACGTCATTAAATAAGCATGACGTCCCAAAAATTTCCAACACGCGAAAAAAATAGGAGTGTTCATCACTGTTGCACAATGGTTACGATCGTCTTGCGTAATAGAATACAACTTTGTATTGGGCTAATTTGTACATTGTTTCATTTGAAAAGCGTGAGTTAAAAAATGTTTAAGGACTTGTCCCAGTAATGAATTGTATTTTTCTTTGTACTAGGACTTGTGGAGTGCATTTTTATGATGATTCTTGGATTACGCTTAAACCTGTTGAGAGTTCTCCTCAAATCTTCCAGACATCTTGAGTGTTTTAACTCTACCGTAGTGACGAATGTAGGTGTGCATCTGTCACCTGTGGGCAACTCGCCTGACAAGGTACAGAACCTCAGTTCTTCTGATGAAGCTGGAACCTCGCTAGGAGCTGTGGAGGACAGTTTATCAGGTGGTAATTTTTTCCGCCATTACTTTAACAATTTAGGGTAAGTGTACTGCCTAAGTGTACTTATAGCAGCTCTGTACTCTGACGAAAGAGTATTGGCTGTGAAACTACCAGACCACGTATCTCGGTTTGTGATGTAGACTTCCTGTCATACTTTATTTTTCAAATGGAAAGCTATTCAGCATCAATTCTTGAAAAGTTTCGTCATTTTCCTTCTCTTTGTAAAGAAAACTCTGAAGCATTTAAGAAATGATATTGATTTGTTCTCCTTTAACGAAATAAAATGGGAGCGTAGGTTTTTCTACTCCTCAAACACGATACGTGAACTCATAGTTTCACCGTCAATATGGAGGCATACAGCTAGGGCAGGTTTTGCCTTCCCTCTCAACTCTGCAGAAAATGTGAAGCAAATTTTGGAATTTTAGGCGAAATATGAACGTCCGAAAGAAGAGAGGCAAATCTTTAATTTGGTTGTATTGACAGAAATGCAGCATTGTGGAAAGCAGTCAGTATTCTTAAATTTTTCCACCTCTATTTATAAATTTAAGATGTTTCACCTATCCTGATACCAATATCTTGGAAAGAAGTCCTAACTTTTTGAAGAAAACAAAAGTGAAATCTCCTGTTCGTCACTTTGACATGCTGATAATACAAATGCTGGAAGGTCAAAATAATCGGGAAACAGTGCATTTACTATCAAGGTCACATTTTCCATTTCTTTTTTATGTTTTGCTAAATTCTTATTCTTATTAGTTCCCGATAAAAAATTCTTGAAGTCTTCAAATGTGGCTAAAAAAATCTGCCAAAAATATTTAAAGTAGTGCTTTATTCATTTTCACAAAGAGTGCAAGTTGTAGGTGCAATATTTACACTGGAGGGTGAGTTGATGCTTAGTGGATTTATTTACTTTTAATGTTGGACAGAAGATCTGCCAGACTCCAATAACAGGCACTAAGTTTGATCTGAAGATGAATTGTATTTTGAAGTGCGCTAAGAATAATTGTTAATAGATCAAAATTCACTTCCCCCCTCTTTCGCAGTTTCGTACTGAAACGTCATAGAGTTTTTTCGTAATCTTTAATTTTAAATTTTGGGTTTTCCCCCAGAAAAATTTGAACTTTGTACTTCTCTACCAACCCGTCACTTAAAAAAAATGAAGGAAGATTTTTTCCTCACCAAATTCCTCTAAAATTGTCTTTAAAATTGCAATATGTCATTATTTTAAGAAAAAATAATGGAAAGAAAAAACACTTACTTATTCATAAATCTATTAATATGAAATTCCAGGTAAAGGCAAGTCCCGGTTAGTTGCAGCAGCTTTTGCCTCTCTGGGACATGTTGACACCTCAGGAGCGGTGGAGAATCCATCTTTGGACGATAAAATTAAAACAGCGAAAACGGTCAACGAGCTGCTTAGTTTGATGGATAATCAGATCATATCCAAAGGGCATGCTTTCAAGGTTTGTATACAACTAAATTATCTTTGAAATCTTTTTCAAAGCCGTAAAGAGGCGTAATTTTGAAATTCCCAGATTTTAATTGTGCAGGAAAAAAATTGTCTTCATCTAAACTCTGTCAGAATAAATTTTTGAATTTAGGGCATTGAACCCCTTCTTGTGGCCTCCCTATTTCTATATGCAACCTGCTGGCTGCATGAGTGGAGACAGTCCTTGAAATCTGCTAGTTTGACAACCATCAGGTGGACTACATTTTGTAATTCGGAACTCTAGTTTCTGGTTCAGTTTAGAAACGTCGTATGTACTGTTGGTTTTCCTATGCTTTTAAGCATTTTTACTGATGAGCCAGAAATAGTAGTTCCTAATTGCAAAATGCAGTCCAGATAGAAGTAAGTGCACTTTAATTTCTAAAAGATTGCCCGACTGTGCTATGTAGAGAAGATGAAGAGTAATGAATGAACCTAGCTAAAATAAAACTTTGTTCCCAAATAAATGAATGCTTTTCTGAAAGTAAAAATCAATCTGAGTTTTTCTTGGTCAATTCACCTCATGAACTTTTACAGATTCCGTTCATCAATAGCGGAAATGTGAAACCATCTCCATTCAATGTTATGAAATTTTCCCTCTCATTTTATTTCTCAGGGAAGCAACCCGATTTTAGAGGTAAAATTTACAGGAAATATTCCACCAACAGAGGAAAACAATGAAGGAAGTTTTCAAAAAATTTCATAGTCTAGGTTCCTAAAAAAAAAATAAGCATGACAGAAAGTCTGCGACATCGCAAATGGAGATATGAGTTTTTGCTTTTCCGCCATAAATATTGTAATACTTTTATTCGTGAGCTTATATCTGTTTTTCTTCTCAATGTTTCAGGTCTTCAGCATTTTGTCAACCTGGACTTCGCAGAAAAAAATAGAAATTTCTGAGCTGGAAACAGATATACGGTTTTTAAAATTATGTAAATTTTTGAATAAATCTGTCAGTAAACATTTACAGGCTGCTAAAGGTGACAAAGTAGCCGGTGGTCCGAATATTGTAACGGAAGTGACCAATGAAGATGTCGCTGCCAAGTTATCATCAACCTTAGAATTGCCTCAATTAGTCAAAGTAAGTCTTTTACTCAATATTTAGTGAGTCTAGTGAAAATATCAATGTTGCTCTTCTTTTATGGACCACTAGACAAGGTGCGAATTAAATTAATACCCTTTACCGTTGTCTACAGGAATAGAGAGGCTGTAACTACGATTCTGTGACGTTACGCTAGTAGATGAAACTCAGCCGCAATTTAACATGTGTTCTTATGGGAGAACTCATGGTACATGTTCCTTTTGTGCTAATATTTTTTCAGGGGTTGATCTGATGCATAAATTCATACGAACCTTTTTGAAAGAAGATAAAATTTCACATCAGAAAACTGCCTAGTTCATAAATTACTCTGTCTGATAATTGAGGAAATAAAAGCTAAACACGACTAAATACCGAAAATCGTTACCCCACTAAGATTCAAACGCGCCGCTCATGCAACTTCCGCCGATTGACGGCGGCTCTGATTGGTTAACTTGGCGATTACTGTACTAGTTTAACGTCATGAAACCGAATAGTTATGGCCTCTCCATTCTTGTAGGCAACGCTTTGACACATGTTTTCTCCTGAAAATGACACGCAAAGTATGATTTGTTCAATGAAAATTATTAGAAGTACCTCCTCATTGAAGTGTTCCCATTTTCTTATGCCTCAATTAAAACTTTCTGCTCATTAAAAAACCATTATCTTCCTGAGTCAAACCGCACACAGATTGTTACTGTAACAGTCTCTGCAGTACAAAAGTATTGCCAATATTGATGTGCCTAATGGAGGGCATCTGATAATTTTGAATTCATAATACTGATGGCCAAAGTGCGAAACAACGTATCTCCGTCCATAACGTTGCAGACTGCGTGTCATACTTTATCATTTCCCCAGAAAAGAGATCAATCTAATTTTCAAAAACTTCCTTGATCTTTCCTCTCCACCAGTAGACTATTCTGTACTTAAAAATTTCAAGCAATGAAGTTGGCTTGTTCCTCCTCAAAAAAATAAAATAAGAGCGGAAATTTTGAAACACTGGAATGAAGACACGTGGTTTTGCACTTTAACCAATGATATGCTAGATAAAATTTCAAAGTATCTCCTCTGCAAAATCATTTTGAGCTGCAAATTTGAAACTACCATCAATACAATTTGATTGAATATGTTTTAGTGTTTCTTTTGAGGAAATAGGTTTAAAAATGTTTGATAACCTTCAAAGTAATGCTGCCAATACCCCAATGATGCTTTTGCCTTAAGGTGAATCTTCAGCAGTAGTTCCGAAAAAATCCACCATGTCGCGCTGCTAAAATCCGAATTCGAAATCAATGATTATTTAAATATCACAATAGATATTTTAAATTCTAAGACTCATAAGTTCTAGCAGCATATGTTGGGAATCATTAGAAACCAACGCGAGCTTTAAAAGTTTAATAATAAAAGCTACAACTTGATCCCAATATCTCTTATGGGATATCTGTAAGTGGTGAAGAGACAGCTCTCGGTGGGAGAGAGATATCTGCAACTGCTGAGAGCGATCAATCGTGATTGGTTCCATCAAGGTCATCATGCTTAACCCTACTTTTTTCTGGCGTCAAGTTTCAGAGCTTCAGAAATTACTTCACATGTCGTTTTTAGTGTCAAAAGGAAGAAGAATGTTATGGCTAAAACTTATGACTCTTCAATTATAATAGAAATTCCTTTAACTGTCATAAGAGCTCAAGGACTCACGTGGAGCTGTACGGACTTTAATAGTGTGGACCAAAGAATCAAAACACAGCGGTGGTGCTCCCCGCGCGGAAAAATTTCTTACTACGCACTGCTGTAAATTCACCTTAAGGTCCCTTGTCCTACAGACCAGCCAATGGCCCTTCACCTATAGCCTCTCATCTAATCCTGTTCTATTTGCAGGTGCTGCATTCACTTGCAATGAAGCAGAAACGATCGTTGACCCTGTTGCGATCACTGGTGTACAATATCACCGAAAATCCAGAGGACTTAAATGTGAAGCAATGCGCTGATGTCCTGTATAGCTTAGCCTCATTAAACTATCCGGACGAAGTGCTCATGTGTCGAGTAACAGCTGATCTATACAAATGCATCGAGACAACAGAGAGGCCATCAGTCATCAAATCGATAATTCAGAGCATAGGCATGTTAAAGTATAGAGACACGGAATTATTAGATCAATTGAGCGAATGGATCTTGAAGCACCTCCACGCATGCAGGCCTCAGGAACTTTCAACATTAATTCAAACATTAGCTGCTGTTAACTTTAAACCCTCAAATGAGGAAGTACTGAAGGTATTTCATAAAATTTCATTAAATTCGCTTTACATGTTAGCTAAGCACGTGTTTATTGTGCATGGTTTTACAGTTTTTTTCCTAACAAGATTTAAAAACATAGTTTGATTGCCTAAGGGAGGCAAAAAATACTGGATCGTACCTTTTGATCATGCGCCATAATGTCACGTCGTGTGGTAAAAGTTTCAAACTCTCTTATATTTCTAGCCAATTACACGCCATTTTTAAATGTTTTGGCTGGGGTTTATCCCATCATCCTGAAAAAATTTGATCAAAGATAAGATAATGTATTGATGTATTTTAGGAATATTTTTCTCTTTCCGAAACAATTTCATCATACTCTGTAAATTTGTTATGAGATTGATCAGCTAGATCCACAAAAATTTTCTGAGCTTTCGAATTTTGTAATTACCCTCGCACCTGGACAGCCTATCCAGTTTCACAGGGTCTTCAGTGATCTGGAAAACCTGGAAATTCAGGGAATTAATGGGAAAAACAGGGACTTTATGGGAAAAACACGAAATTCTTGGGAAAAATAGGGAATTTCGTAGGTGGCATGCCAGATCTAGAAGTGAAGATTTCCTTAGTTAATCAAAAAAGAAAAAATGTAGTTCCAGCCAGTAGTTGAAAATCGCTGGGGAAATCACTAAAACATGAAAAGAAAAAATTAAAAATTAACATTTTCCCCCTATTTTTAATAAGTTACCTCCCCATTTCCTTCAAAATATGTTTTCATAGTTAAAAATAGCAAGGTGAATGTGCTTCCAAAGAATCTCTCAATCTTGACTATTTTTTTTTTTTTTTTTTTTGCAGGCAATTTTGCCCAGTATAAATCAGGACCAAGGAATGAACGTATCAGGGTGGTTGAAGATTGTCTGGTCCTTAGCAGTGTTGGGAGAAGCTACTGATAAACAAGTCATGTCAGTTCTCCAGCCTGAATTCGTTGACAAATTAATTGTAACCTGGGACAGTCTACCATTTGCCTTTAACCTCAAACTGCTTCAACTCTATGGTTATGCCTCTTTAGTCTTGAAGTGTTCAGGTAATCTACGTTTTTTGTTCTACAAGAAAAAGAATATGCGTATTAAGCTAAGAAATACCTCTTTCACTATTCTTTGAAGGAGTTTTTTAGCCATCGTCCGTAAAAAGTTCAGCTTAAAGCTGATATCTTGTTACAGAGGGAAAATACTCTCACACAAGCACAATTTTTCCTCCAAGAGATTTTACGCACGATGGCTGAAAAACTCTATCATTGACATACGGTCGTTTTCTGCAGTTAGTTTGGGCACTATTCTTTGGTTGAGATTTGGCAAAAAAAGAAAAAAAGAAACAATGGGTCAGTTGCGCTGGTCACAGAATCATATTTTGATGCTTGATTTTTGTAAGTTAACTAAAAATAATAAGATCCATCCAAACAGCAACTTTCTACGTTCAATATTGATGGAGATTTCGTTCTTTGATGAATTCGGTTTATAACGTCATCCACTGTGGTAGAGACACCCTTGGTGTCTTCCACCTCACTTTTATCAGTCAGTGATTCACTGGTTACTCAACATCAAACCTAGGTGAAAGCAAGGTGGAAGAAACCAATAAGGATGTCACTACCGCGGTGGATGACATCATGAACCAAATTTTTCAAAGCGGGATATCCTGGCTAATATTGAACGTAGAGAGTTGAGGTTTTGACAGATTTTATTATTTTTAGCTGATCTACAAGAATCTACCACCAAAATACAATTTTGTGACCAGCGCAACTGATCCGTTGTGTTCTGTTTTGGTCTGTAATCCAATTTTATAGAGGAGTCTGCTGGAAAAGAGGATGTGATAACCTTTTCTCTATCTTGAAGTTCTCAGTTTTTAATTTTAAATCAAGTTCCTCCAGATAATCAGTTCAAGTGAGTTTGTAAAATTGGGAACAGAGATATCTTGAGTTCTAATTTAGCCCCATTCCTGCGGTTTTTTAGTCAAAATTGATTTCGCTATGGGCTTGTACAAGATAACATCTGTACTTGGCATAGGCTTTTAACTGTTCAAAATAGAAGGGAGAAAAGTTGAGGACAAATTTTATTTTTTAAAAGAAACTGAAAAGAAAAAAAAAATTCCCACTAATCTTATGTTAGTTGTTAGAGGGTGCAATCCTGATCACTCTGAAACAAATTCTTGGTTTCCAGCTCACTCTGAATTTAAGAGCCGAGTGTGAAACCTCTCCTCTTTGGGTTTGGGTTTCATAATGCACATAAAACGACTGAAATGGTACGATAAACAACCTGCCAACAAGATTTGGGGAAAATCTCAGTTTCATATTCCATAAAAGAGGGGGAAATTTTTGGAAATCGGGTCCAAAAAAAGGCAAACTGATTTACTATCAACTGAATAGGATGGACCAAAGATAGTCACTACTAAGTCGATGAAAGCGATGGCAATTACTGTGTCTGTTTAAGTGAAAATGGTCAATGCAATGAAAGGCTTAATCTTGTTGTCATGCAGATGGGTCCTATCTGTGAGTGTATTATTGAACGGATCGTTAAGGACAAATGAATCGGTGATAAGTCCTTAAAGTCCACTTTTTGTGCATCCTTTAACCTAATCAAGTTTCTATATTTTTTGTTTTTAGACGCCCAATGGTTGGCGAAGAATCAAGAACTCAAAAATATTCCTCTGTTAAGGTCGAAAGACAAACAGGTTTATGTGAATGGAGTGTTCACGGCTCTTTCAAATTTACTGCCATCTTCTGTGTATCTGTCAAAAGATATCAATTCAGGATATGGATACTTAATTGGTAAGCTTCAAGTCGCAAATTTTCATTTTCTTTCCTATAAAGGAAACTTGTGACGAAGTTCGTACAGTCTTGAAAAGTCTTCGGGAGTCTTGATATATTTTAATTTTTGAGAAAAGTGGCGATAGCCTTGAAAGTTTGTGATAGTCCCTTACCTATGAAATCTGAAGTTTAACTCCAAAGAATATCAATTTCTGAATAATCTTTTGACTTTTATGTTTAACTAAAAGTATGCTCCTCCAAGAGTTTTAAGTGTTTATTAAATGCTGTTTTCCGGAAGAATTTACTTGGATGCACCCATTTTTCTCTGTTTCTGATAAATATATAATTGAAAACTTGCTAAAAAAAATTGTGAAAGTCCTCGAATATTCAATCTAAAGCCCCTTTAAACTCTCCCTCAGTTCTTTAAAAGTCCTCTAAGATCGTTAATTTTGTTTGGTAATGGTCAACCGCATGTACCCTGATTGAAGTAATTACTCGCTTACTAAATATTCAGGTTTTTTCATTTATGACATTTAACCGTTTATGTGCGTCAGATAATGGAAGTCGAAAATGACATCGTGTTCGACGTCATGACCAAACAACTTGTTTGGTATGGTCATGTCAATAGGATGACGGAAGAGAGGCTGCCAAAAAGGATGCTTGATTGGGTTCCTCCTGGGAGGAGGCGTAGGGGACGCCCAGCGAGAGGTTGGCGACAGGGGGTGTTAAGTGAGATGAGGGAGTGTCAACTCCCTGATAACCTGTGGGAAGACCGAGCTTTGTGGCGATTAGGTGTCGCAAAGCGCCAAAGAGCGCTATAACAGCGACTCGTATGTATGTATGAAGGGTACCCTCAGAAGTCGAGGCACCAACCCCTCGTATGAACGAATAAATAAAGACAGCAATTTCCAGGTCATACAAGTTTAAAGCTCATTTCATCAGCTTTCTAACGTGTCCATGTTTGGCTCATCCGGTTAAATATTTACTGAGTTAAAGTGAGCTGTAGGCAATATGCTCACGCAACCTCTAAGAAAATGTTACACCTTTTGTAAGAGAAGAAAAATAAAGCTAATATGCATTAAATTTCACCAGAGCAAAATGTTGCCAGCCAATTTCATTACCAAGTTTTAAAAATTATCCATAACTTATTAATTCTGACATGTTCCTTGCAGATGGAGTATGTCAAATAGATGATAAGTTGACGCCCATAGCTCTAATTGACAAGAAAACTGGAAAGAGAATTAATGAAAATAACGGAACAAAGTAAGTGGTTAACCTTTTGATTTTTTTTATTCCCACCAACAATTAATTATCAATGATTGAGCTAAGTGTAGCCATTCACTTCCTTGTTTTTATAATTTCTCGATTTTTAGAGGAGTACTTTCCCTCTATCAACACCGATCGGAAATTAATGAACTTCCTAAAATTGAGGTTTTGCTTTTTGCTGTAAAAATTTAATGCTGCTAAATGAAAAGGATAGGGGCTGAAAAAGTATAATGTAAAGGAAACTAAAATTTTCGAGCAATTGCTGAATTTTCTCAAGGAAGAAAAGAGTAGAATATATTAATAGACCAGAAACTCAGTTGTTAATTTGTGTGGCTACATATTGATGGAGAAACCAGGAAAAATGTAACTTTTACAATGTGTCAAAATGTTCGATCTGTGTTATTTTATAATTTTTTAATAGCATGTTTCTTGGCATGGTATGACATTTTCAGAGCATATTTTCGAAAAGCATATTTGAGCAGCATCACGTGAAATCAATCATTGTCTACTTCCCAAAAAATTTAAATATGACGTGAAATCTGCAACCACTCAAATAGAAATGCATATATCTCTCGTTTTATTATTTATTTGCTGACACCAAAACTCGTCAGGGAGGCATATCCATGGCGAAATGCGAAACTACATACTTCTATTGCAATGTTTCAACGTTTCCACCATTATTGTATATTTTCAAAGAAAAGCAAGCCAAACTAATAGCTTGAAATCTAGACAGAATATTCTGCTAATATAGAAGAAAAACCAAGGAAATTTTCAAGAGATTACGTAAACTAATTTTCCAAAGAAAAAACAAAGTGAGATCAGAAATCAGCAACATAACAAACGAAGATACGTGATTTTATACTTTGGCCATCAATATGTAACGTTAAAAGAGTCGGGTAGCCTATAAATCAAACCTAATTTTTCTTTTATTTCCATTCATATTTTTGTTTTCCTCTCTCAATGTATAACGGATGGCTTTCTAATTATTTCCCTGTCTCATTACAGAATAGCAATTATGGTGCATGACTTCCATGATTTCTGTCGAGGATCTCACAACAAACTCGATGGGGCAAACAGCCTCTTCCTTAGACTCACAGAACTTAGCGGATACAAAGTAATGTCTGTTCCATTTCACGAGTTCAACTTGTCAGATAAACTTCCAACCAGAGTACAGTATTTAGAAGACAAAGTCAAAATGTTGTTGAAAAGCAAGTAGTTTTCGGTAATCTTTTCTTCAAGTCTGTAAAATTGTATAAAAAGCTATTTCTCAAGATCGTTTTGAATTCGGCGGTCGTTTTTAGTCGCATACTTTCGATGTCGCAGGTGAGAGTGAACAATCCTGTTTCTACAATCGTATATGAAGTCAAAGCATCAGCATTTATCGATTTTTATAGGCATAGTGATGCTGTCAGGGGTATGATTTATATCTACTGTGGTTTTGTGTAGGTAACTTAATTTTCCTGTTCAGTAATTGTAAGATCTGTAAATCTAGATGATTTTTGTAATGAATTGATAAATGTTACACTTTTAACTAAGTCCAACTTTAAGCCTCTTTTCAGTAATGAATCACATCAAGCATTTGCATGAATGTATTAACTTTAAGACGCTACGATCTGTATGCAATGACCCATCCCCTTTTGTAAAAGAATATGGTCCTATTTTATTTTAGGCTTTTGGGCTGTTATAAGTATCCAATGTTACATTTCGAAACTTGATTGTCGTGAGTGATAAAAATGGAAGTATTTCAAGGCGTAGGTGAAAAATATAGTATGAATCCCAAAATGTCGTAATGAGATAGTTGCAAGTGCTAAAGTTTTGTTACGATAAAAAACACCACTTTAACGTAAAAATGAAGATACTGTCTTGGAATTTGATACTTTAACAATCGTGCATATGCTGACAGTTCTCTAAAAAGGAGAAATTAGCTTGGCCATAGCCGAGGCCATGGAATGGAGGTTTGCCAGAGTAGCAAGAAAACTCCAGCCTGGCATTGAGAAGGATGCAATTGGACAAAACAGCCCCTGAAAGCCTGCGAATGGAGACAGGGAATTAGAAAAATATTATTAGCAACATGACAAGCGTATCAAGAAGTTTTGAAGAGAGAGGATGAAAGAATAGAAAAAATCGGGTGAATAATGAAAATAAATATTTGAAGGAGAAAAACATACTTGCATTACATTTAACTGATCAGAATCACTTAATTTTACATGTTTGATCCTAATGCCTCTTAGTTTAATATAATTTGATGCAGAAACGTTTTTATTCCATGGAACGCCCGCAATTTTATCGGATGGTCCTTTTGCTCAAAATTTCAGCACATATTTTTCTACAGCCTACTTACATTTTTGCGTCTGACTATAAATAGTAATCTTCACAAATAGTTCTGCTCAGCTAAAACTTTTATGTTCTTGATGCGCTCTGTTCTTTGCCTTAATGTCATTTTCAATGCAATGCCTCCGAGTCAAATTCAGAAGTAGGATTTTCGAGGATAAGCATCTGGGTGCATCAAATGCTACAGACCAGATTACCAATTCAGGGATCTCCACCTATTGAGGTTGCAGAAGTATGAATTCTTAACACCTCAGACATTTTTAATTTGCGCTTGGAAAACGAGTTCGCGGTTTTGTTGATGAATATTGAGATTAGCAAATCCGTGATCGTAACTCATATTTGTTTTTTATTGTTTCACTATTTTTTTTCTTTGTTCTTTGTAAATTACTAAATACAATGGAAGTTGTTTACAAATGGCACTTTTTAATTTTTTTCCTGTACTTGAGTTTTTGAAACGAAGGACATTTCCACACAGAGGTAGACTAACACTATAAAAGAAGGACAATTCTACGAAAAGTGTCCTATTCCAGTCATGAATGTTTTACTGGTAAAATGTGTGATAGAAAATCTTACATTTCATCTATTTTTATGGAAAATAAGTGATCTAAATGAATTATCATAGTTATGTCACATGTGCAAGTCGATGTATCAAGCTTCATTCGCAGCTTTAAGTTATTTAAATGTCATGACCATCACTATCATGATTGGTTGGTTTCAATGTTTACAACCGCATAACTTTTTTTTAGTCTGATGAATTTTTCTGATTTTTGTACTATAGTTTCATCAAAAATACTTTTAGTTGAATCATCTATGTATTTTATTTAAAGGAAACAAATGAATTTTCCACCCGAAATATTTCAAAAATATGCTGTCATGAAGTTTTGACGTCGTGATCGTGACTGGTGTTTTTGTTCCCCAAAATGGCTGCCAGGGGCAGTTCAAATCGCTACAACACGTTCCATTTCGTTGAGTGAAGTGTTCACATCAAATTATGATCGTGCAGCAGTCACTGCCAGAATTCAGAAGATCATGGAAGGATTCAAAAGACAAATTTACTACATTGAACTTTTCTGTGTGTCATGACTGGCACGCTTTTTATTTTTGGAGCGTGTGATATTCTGAAAAATCTTTGTGCCCTCTTTACAGCCTTTTTTACCAATGGTACTTACTACTTTTAAAATTGTGCTTCTTTGCTGTTGAGTACACTCGCCGTTTTTGTTTAAATTTGGCACGGCCGTCACTTTGCATTGGATGTTTTTAGTGTAGAAGGAAGAGGAAAAAATTTCTGATAAAAAAGGTACCCGCACCATTTTTTTAGCCTGATACCATACTGAACTAAAAATACAAACCCCCAATCCAAAATAATCAAGTTGAGTTTTTAGTATTTTGGAGGTCAAATTGGACAGTTTTTGTTGAATCGCCCTGTCACCAAGAATAGCAGCCCATCAGTGTTTAGATTGGCCCATTCTAGTCGTTTACTAATTTCTCGCTCCTCTAGGGTATTTCACTATGTGAAGAGGAGAAACCGGTCCAAAATGTTTCCAAGATTTTCCCTGGTGTTTCCACCTGCCTGTCTGCCCCTATCCCTATGAAGAATGTTCTTGAAGATACGATTGTATCTTTGAATTGTTTCTATTTTTGTCAGCAAACGGCTCAAAACAAATTCCCTGAACAGTGGCAGTTACAAATCAAATCAGACTTTTTGAAGTTGAATGCATGCATTTTTCCTAGAAAATGTCACATTTCAAGATTTCATGATGTGATCGGAGCGCGGGGGGGC